GTTTATTGCACACCCGCTGTCTCAGAGGCAGCAATTCTATTGTTTAAATTCTGTGTTCGCTTGTCGCATTAGACGACAGCTAGGTACACACCCTAGCGTACCAACGCGTTAGTTGTATAAGTGTTCGTTTAGGCACACATCTCCCCCACCGAAAGGTGGGGGGCTTGATACACAAGTGTTTTTCTATCCACTGATAAGATGGCGGCTATTACTATAGCCGAACTCGCCGACTTCTTCGGTCAAGTGTGCCCCGACGCTTAGGCTGCTTTCCTAGCCCAACGCAGCAAAACCACTGCTGAACGTTCCGTTGTACGTATCGACGACCCTATGTCGCCGAGCACCGGGCCCACGACCCCTGTGTCCATCGACACAGTCTACGACGCTGCGTCCCCCGCGCATTCTGCGCTCTCCACCCGCGGTACCTCCCCGTTGTTTTCGGACGCCAAATCAGGCTCCAAGATGGAAATAGAGAATCACCGATCCGAAAAACCCGAAGACGAAGGCTTCACCATAGTCTCGGGTAAAAAGCGTAAGCGTACCGCCGCAAAAAAGGGAGACGAGCCTCACTCGGTCCCTACGTCGCCCAACGCCACTGCGGCCAAAAAAATCGCGCCTTCCGCGCGCAAAATTACCGCGATCAAAACCGCGAACCCGACTCAGGCCGTTCCAAGGAAGGTGAAGCCGCCGTAGGGGCATCGTTGGCCATTGCCACCGATGCCAATTATGCGGCCATTCGGCCAGGAATTGTTTCGCCCGTCCTAGGTGCGTCAAGTGCCTAGGCGATCATGGCACTCCCGAGTGCCCCCCGAACGCCCGAGACGGAGGGCCCTCCGGTCTGTGTTCTATGCGGCGAAGAGGGACACCCAGCGAGCTATCGCGGGTGTTCCAAAACGCCGCGTAGGAAGCAGAATTGAGGAGCAATCCGACGCGGACGAGCGGGCAACTCCAGTAGGTTGCGCCCACGGCATTCTGCCCCATCGGGTGCACCAACCTCGGTGCCGCAACCCGCGCCCACTCAGACTGCAGCCAAGCCCGCCCCCGTTAAAAAAACTTCCGGGCAAGGCCCAAGCCTTCCGGTGCCTTCAGCACCTAAGCCCAACGCATGGGTTAAGCCCCCGGTGATTGTTAGCGTGGCCGCCTCACGGCCAGTGCCTCCTCGCCAGGCCCAGAAGCCCAAACCCGCCCCTCAGGCATCGTCAAACATCGACACTGACCTTTCGTTAGTGTTCAACTTCGCCAGCAATATTAACGTGGCTGAAGTCACAACCTTAGCCCGCAACTAGTTACGTTTCGGTAGGGAAACCGAGGGTTTTGTCTGTGCAATACAGGATCAGGTTATTAAGACCAACAACTATCGGAGATACATCCTAAAGGATGGCACTGTCGACGTCTGTTGAGCTTGTCGCCATCCCGGGGAATCACTTAGGCATTTCATCGCCGGTTGTTCGGCGCTTTTTAACTCTGAGTACTTGCACAGGAACAACCTAGTAGCCAGAATTCTACACCAGGAGCTCGCTCTAAAATACGATCTCGTGGACCGGAAATTGCCGTATTACAAGTACTTGCCGGAAGCCGTGCTCGAAAATGACCGCGCCAGCCTCTACTGGGACCGGGCCATCATCACAGACAGGACTATTCTTGAGAATAAGCCTGGTATTGTGTTGATGGACCGGGCACAGTCAAGGATATTTTTGGTCGACATGTGGAGTAGTCTGCCGACCGAAATTATTCCTGTAGTCGTCTCTTCAAACGGGCTAATCCCAGTTAGCCTCTCGGGTCATCTGAGGCGGCTGGGACTACGTGGCGGACCGCTCCAGGTTCAAATGCAGAAGGCGGTGCTCCTCGATACCCCACACATAATAATAAATAAAGTAAAAGGCGTAGGGAAGTGACGACCCCATCGTCCGCTGACGTAACGGTTATGTGACAAAACCGCTACGTCAGCGCAGTCAGTCAGCATCTTGCCAAGAGGTGTTAGTGCCGTGCCTCGGCAAAAATTGAAGGTGCAAAGGCCCGCTTGTGCACATGGCCTCAACATGTCTCCCGCTAAATGACGCCCTAAAATGGATGATGGAATTAAATAGAACCCGCAAAGGGCCATTGCCTGGAGGTCGCCAGGGCGCGTCTGGAACTGGCGCTGGACGCGGCAGCATGCGAACCGCCAGCCGAGCGCGAGGTGCTGCACGACCACCCAGCAGCCCCTCGCATCCATCATCCCCACCAGCTGGCTTGGTGTCGGGAGTGTCTTCGCGGGCCCAGCAATCGGCACCCGCCTCTGGTGGAGTACGCCGCATGCGTTGTACAACCCAGATGAACAGCAACGCATTGCGGGCGTATTTTAGGGCGAAAGGAGGAGAAACTGGATATTTGGCGTATCGGGCTAGGATGCATCGTCTTTTTGCTGAGCTGGAGCCCTCATTTGGTTTTGGATGGATCACTCATGTGGTTCCTAAAGATCAGGATGCCACAAACCCGAGCAAATACCGCCCCATTACGTGTCTACCGAAAATATACAAGTCACTAACATCCATTTTGAGCGCGAGAATCGCTAGTCACCTGGACTCTAATCAGGTGATGTCGCGCGCTCAAAATGGATGTCGGGGCGGTGGTCGTGAAACCAAGGAACCACTCCTCATTGACGCGGTCATTGGCAAAGTGGTGAAACGCAACCGTCTGAACTTCTCCGCCGCATGGATAGACTACAGAAAGGCATTTGACTCGGTGCCCCATACATGGCTAAAGAGAGTCCTCGAGCTGTACAAGATAGACTGTACAGTTAGAGACTTCCTCGAGCAGTGTATGGGGCAGTGGAGTACGATCCTTTGTTATCTGGGCGAGCGGATGATGGCTGCGGAGAACCACATAAGGATAAGAAGGGGTATCTTCCAGGGCGATTGTCTGAGTCCAATCTGGTTCTGCCTCTCTCTGAACCCTCTCAGTACCTTACTGGAGGGCTCCGGTAGGGAATTTCAGCTACGGAAAGGAGGGACAACAGTCACCCACCTTTTCTATATGGATGACCTCAAGTTATTCGCCTCCAGTCGCTCCCATCTTATGGAATTGCTAAACATCACTTGTGAATTTAGCAATTCCATTGGAATGGAGCTTGGGACGGATAAGTGTGCGGTCCTCCATGTTGAAAGGGGAAGGGTTGCTAACTCTGAGGGCATAGACTTATCTATGCCCGTCAACTTAATAACCCTTTCCGAGGCTGAAACATACCGATACCTGGGTATGTCACAAAATATCGGTATCGATGAGACTGGTATGAAACAGTCAGTTTGCGACGTGTTTTATGCACGCTTGACCAAAGTGCTTAACAGCCTTTTGTCCGGTGTGAATAAGACACTTGCATATAACGGCTGGGTCGTGCCTGTCCTCATGTATACCTTTGGCATACTCAGGTGGACTCAGACTGAACTTAACGCCCTGGATAGAAAAGTCCGCACTACCATGACGTCCCGTAGGATGCATCATCCGAGATCGTCGGTAATGAGGCTGTACTTACCGCGGAAGCATGGTGGTCGTGGCTTCTTGAGCGCGCTCACCATGCATAATCGCGAAGTGTGCAGCCTCCGTGATTACTTCCTGGCGAGATCGGATGATCCATTCTATAAGGACGTCATTTCTTGTGATAAAGGACTTACCCCTCTGTCCTTAGCCAATGAGCAATGGCAAGACCCGGCAGTGCAGAGCATTTCCGACCGGGAGACCGTATGGAAGGAGAAGGAGCTCCACGGGAGGTTCTACAAGGCTCTACATGGGCCTTTCGTAGACACAGTAGCCTCCCTCCACTGGCTACGCTTTGGTGATCTCTTCGGGGAAACCGAGGGTTTTGTCTTTGCAATACAGGATCAGGTTATTAAGACCAACAACTATCGGAGATACATCCTAAAGGATGGCACTGTCGACGTCTGTTGAGCTTGTCGCCATCCAGGTGAGACATTTAAGTATGTTATCTCCGGTTGTTCGGCGCTTTCTAACTCTGAGTACTTGCACAGGCACAACCTAGTAGCCAGAATTCTACACCAGGAGCTCGCTCTGAAATACGGTCTCGTGGATCGGAAATTGCCGTATTACAAGTACTTGCCGGAAGCCGTGCTCGAAAATGATCGGGCCAGGCTCTACTGCGACAGGGCCATTATCACAGACAGGACTATTCTTGCGAATAAGCCTGATATTGTGCTGATGGACCGGGCTCAGTCAAGGATATTTTTGGTCGATATTACCATTCCGTATGACGAGAACCTCGTGAAAGCCGAAACAGACAAGCAAAAAAAATATCTGGACCTGGCTCACGAGGTGACCGACATGTGGGGTGGTCTGCCGACCGAAATTATTCCTGTAGTCGTCTCTGAAACGGGCTAATCCCAGTCAGCCTCTCGGGTCATCTGAGGCGGCTGGAACTACGTGGCGGACCGCTCCAGGTTCAAATGCAGAAGACGGTGCTCCTCGATACCGCCCGCATCGTCCGCCGGTTTCTTTCCCTTTCCCCCTAACCCTCGGCCGTTTGGTCTCCCCTGCCGAGGGCCTCCATCTGGTTGGGCTTTTATTTATTTATGTACTTTTATATTTATTTTATGTTATTGATATTTATGTATATTTATCTTTTCATTTTCATTTATAATTATATATTTATAGAACCCAACCAGATGAGAAAACTATATAGATACCCCACAATAATAATAATTAAGAAAATAGTGCGCAAAGAGCCGCTGCCTGGGGGTCGCCGGGGCGCGTCTGGAGCTGGCACTGGATGCGGCAGCATGCGGGCCGCCAGCCAAGCGCGAGGAGCTGCACGGTCACCTAGCAGCCCTACGCATCCATCATCCCCACCAGAAGGCTTGGAGTCGGCTGGGTCTTCTCGGACTCAGCAAGCGGCACCCGCCGCTGATGGAGCACGTCGCATGCGTTGGTCACAAGCAATGAATGCAAACGCTCTGCGGGCGTATTTTAGGGCAAAATGGGAAGAAACTGGATGTTTGGCGTATCGGGCTAGGATGCATCGTCTTTTTGCTGAGCTGGAGCCATCTTTAACCGTCACAGAGCAAAACCTGGCAGACCGAGTTCGGTATATCTTGCGCTCAAATATATTTGATGTCGCCGAACTCGAACGGCTACGACGTGAGGCTGTTCCCTCGTCGGATGAGAATGCTACGGCTGAGGATGCGGCGCCACAAATGGTAGAGCAACCCGCAAACGTGGATGCCGCCGTGAATACCCCAGTTGTGGTTGATTCAAACGATGATGGAACAGTCGCCCAGGAACTGGAATTAGAGCATATGAGGAGTACATTGGAAGAGGCGATTATGGAAACGCGCAGTACGCCTCTCGAAAATCGACCGCGACTTCCCCGCATAGCCCTAAGCAAGCGAAATCGGGCTGTCGTGAGGGCTCTGAACCCAATGCTGGTGACCTATTTGGAAGCCCGCCGGGACCTTTGCGAGACGCACTCAATTCTTTTTGGCGCCGCGCTGGCAGTCTGCCGTATCATAGGCGCCAAGTTTTCTACGGCTGGACGCGCTACTGGCCATAGTAGCGCTATCCCAGCATGGAGAAGAAGAATTGAGGAACGTATCGCAAAGGCTAGAGCTCTCATCGGCAGACTGATATGCTTCAGATCAGGCAACAACAGGCCAAGAATTGTGCGCACCGTCAGGATGGCGTTTGCTGGGACAAATGTGAGTTTGTCCCAGCCGGATATAACGCAAAAACTGACGCGCGCGATAGATGATCTGAAGCAGAGAATCGCTGCTTGGGGAAAGCGGATTCGGCGATATACCGAGAGGTCGACACGGTTCAACCAGAATCGTCTCTTCCAGAGTGATCAGAAGAGGCTCTATGAATCATTGGAGCGACCAATGGTAAGTGGAACGCGTCCAGCACCGAATCAGGCCGACACAGTAGCATTCTGGCGCGGCCTGTTGTCAGAGCCCGTAAACCACAGCGAGGGCCCTTGGACGGAAGTTGTGGCGAGTCAGTGTGCGGGTATTACGCCCATGGACCCCATCATCATAACGCCGGATGACGTAGCTGAGGCGGTCCGTAGGGCCCCGAACTGGAAAAGTCCGCGGCTTGACGGGCTGCATCACTACTGGCTGAAGGAGTTCATGGTGTGTCATTCTGTGCTCGCCCGACAGTTTCAAGAGGCTCTCAATCAGAATTCGCTCCCAAGCCTCTTCACTACTGGGATCACTCATTTGGTTCCTAAAGATCAGGATGCCACAAACCCGAGCAAATACCGCCCCATTACGTGTCTACCGAAAATATACAAGTCACTAACATCCATTTTGAGCGCGAGAATCGCTCGTCACCTGGACTCTAATCAGGTGATGTCGCGCGCTCAAAATGGATGTCGGGGCGGTGGTCGTGGAACCAAGGAACCACTCCTCATTGACGCGGTCATTGGCAAAGTGGTGAAACGCAACCGTCTGAACTTCTCCGCCGCATGGATAGACTACAGAAATGCATTTGACTCGGTGCCCCATACATGGCTAAAGAGAGTCCTCGAGCTGTACAAGATAGACTGTACAGTTAGAGACTTCCTCGAGCAGTGTATGGGGCAGTGGAGTACGATCCTTTGTTATCTGGGCGAGCGGATGATGGCTGCGGAGAACCACATAAGGATAAGAAGGATTATCTTCCAGGGCGATTGTCTGAGTCCAATCTGGTTCTGCCTCTCTCTGAACCCTCTCAGTACCTTACTGGAGGGCTCCGGTAGGGAATTTCAGCTACGGAAAGGAGGGACAACAGTCACCCACCTTTTCTATATGGATGACCTCAAGTTATTCGCCTCCAGTCGCTCCCATCTTATGGAATTGCTAAACATCACTTGTGAATTTAGCAATTCCATTGGAATGGAGCTTGGGACGGATAAGTGTGCGGTCCTCCATATTGAAAGGGGAAGGGTTGCTAACTCTGAGGGCATAGACTTATCTATGCCCGTCAACTTAATAACCCTTTCCGAGGCTGAAACATACCGATACCTGGGTATGTCACAAAACATCGGTATCGATGAGACTGGTATGAAACAGTCAGTTTGCGACGTGTTTTATGCACGCTTGACCAAAGTGCTTAACAGCCTTTTTTCCGGTGTGAATAAGACACTTGCATATAACGGCTGAGTCGTGCCTGTCCTCATGTATATCTTTGGCATACTCAGGTGGACTCAGACTGAACTTAACGCTCTGGATAGAAAAGTCCGCACTACCTTGACGTCCCGTAGGATGCATCATCCGAGATCGTCGATAATGAGGCTGTACTTGCCGCAAAAGCATGGTGGTTGTGCTTCTTGAGCGCGCGGAAATTGCTGTATTACAAGTACTTACCGGAAGCCGTGCTCGAAAATGATCGCGCCAGGCTCTATTGCGACCGGGCCATCATCACAGACAGGACTATTCTTGCGAATAAGCCTGATATTGTGCTGATGGACCGGGCACAGTCAAGGATATTTTTGGTCGACATTACCATTCCGTATGACGAGAACCTCGTGAAAGCCGAAACAGACAAGCAAACAAAATATCTGGACCTGGCTCACGAGGTGACCGACATGTGGGGTGGTCTGCCGACCGAAATTATTCCTGTAGTCGTCTCTGCGAATGGGCTAATCCCGGTCAGCCTCTCGGGTCATCTGAGGCGGCTGGGACTACGTGGCGGACCGCTCCAGGCTCAAATGCGGAAGGCGGTGCTCCTCGATACCACCCGCATCGTCCGCCGGTTTCTTTACCTTTCCCCCTAACCCTCGGCCTTTGGTCTCCCCTGCCGAGGGCCTCCATCTGGTTGGGCTTTTATTTATTTATATACTTTTATATTTATTTTATGTTATTGATATTCATGTATATTTATCTTTTCATTTTCATTTATAATTATATATTTATAGAACCCAACCAGATGAGAAAACTATATAGATACCCCAATAATAATAAGGATCAGGTTATTAAGACCAACAACTATCGGAGATATATCCTAAGGGATGGCACCATCGACGTCTGTCGAGCTTGTCGCCATCCCGGGGGAGTCACTTAGGCATGTCATCTCCGGTTTTTCGGCACTTTCTAACTCTGAGTACTTGCACAGGCACAACCTAGTAGCCAGAATTCTACACCAGGAGCTCGCTCTGAAATACGGTCTCGTGGACCGGAAATTGCCGTATTACAAGTAATTGCCGGAAGCCGTGCTCGAAAATGATCGCGCCAGGCTCTAGTGGGACTGGGCCATCATCACAGACAGGACTATTCTTGCAAATAAGCCTGATATTGTGCTGATGGACCGGGCTCAGTCAAGGATATTTTTGGTCGACGTTACCATTCCGTATGACGAGAACCTCGTGAAAGCCGATACAGATAAGCGAACTAAATATCTGGACCTGGCTACGAGGTGACCGACATGTGGGGTGTTTGGCCGACCGAAATTATTCCTGTAGTCGTCTCTGCGAATGGGCTAATCCCAGTCAGCCTCTCGGGTCTACTGAGGCGACTGGGACTCCGTGACGGACCGCTCCGGGCTCAAATGCAGAAGGCGGTGCTCCTCGATACCGCCCGCATCGTCCGTCGGTTTCTTTCCCTTTCCCCCTAACCCTCGGCCGTTTGGTCTCCCCTGCCGAGGGCTTCCATCTGGTTGGATCTTTATTTATTTGTGTATTTTTTGTATTTATTTTATTTTATTGATATTTATGTATATTTATCATTTCATTGTAATTTATAATTATATATTTATAGAAACCAACCAGATGAGAAAACTATACAGTTACCCATAATAATAATAATAAATATGGCGTAGGGAATTGACGACCCCATCGCCCACTGACGTAACAGTTAAGTGACAAAACTGCTACGTCAACGCAGTCAGTCAGCGCCTTGCGAGAGGTGTGAGCGCCGTGCCTCGGCAGAATTCAGGGTGCAAAGGCCCGTTTGTGCTTATGGCCGTCCACGATACGGTGCCGGGCCTAGGCGTCTCCCATTAATGGACGCCCATATCTTGGATGATGGAAAAAAAAATTGTGCGCGAAGGGCCGCTGCCTGGAGGTCGCCAGGGCGCGTCTGGAGCTGGCGCTGGACGCGACAGCATGCGGGCCGCCAGCCAAGCGCGGGGTGTTGCAAGACCACCTAGCAGCCCCCCGCATCCATCATCCCAACCAGAAGGCTTGGTGTCGGCTGGGTCTTCTCGGACTCAGCAAGCGGCATCCGCCGCTGGTGGAGCACGTCGCATGCGTTGGTCTAAATCAATGAATGAAAACGCACTGCGGACGTATTTTAGGGCAAAAGGGGAAGAAACTGGATGTTTGGCGTATCGGGCTCGGATGCATCGCTTTTTTGCAGAGATGGAGCCATCTCTATCCGTCACTGAGCAAAACCTGGCAGACCGAGTTAGGTACATCCTGCGCTCCAACATATTTGGTGACGCCGAAATCGAGCGACTACGACGTGAGGCTATTCCTTCCTCGAATGGAAATGCTACGGCTTGGAATGCGGCGCCACTAGATGCGCAACAAACTGCATATGTGGATGCCGCCGTCAACATTCCATTTGTGGCTAATTCAGACGATGATGGAATAGTCTTCCACGAACTAGAGAAAATAAGGAGCATATTGGAAGAGTCGATGCTGGAAACGTGCAGCATGCCTCTCGAGAATCGACCGCAACTTCCCCGCATACCCCTTAGCAAGCGAAATCGGGCTGTCGTGCGGGCTCTTAACCCAATGCTGGTGACATATTTGGAAGCCAGCCGGGACCTTTGCGAGACGAATTCAATTATTTTTGGCGCCGCACTGGCAGTATACCGTATTATTGGCGCCAAACTTCCCGTGGCTGGACGTGCTACTCAAAAAAGTAGCGCCATCCCAGCCTGGAGAAAAAGAATTGAGGACCGTATCGCAAAGGCAAGGGCCCTTATCGGCAGATTGACAGGCTTCAGGTCGGGTAATAATAGACCGAGGATTATACTCACCGTTAGGATGGCGTTTGCTGGGACAAATATCAGTTTGTTCCAACCGGATATCACGCAAAAACTAACGGAGCGTATAGATGACCTGAAGCAAAAAATCGCTGCTTGGGAGAAGCGGATTCGACGATTTAGCGAGAGGTCAAGGCGGTTCAAACAGAATCGTCTCTTCCAGAGTGATCAGAAGAGGCTCTATAAATCATTGGAGCGACCAGAGGTATGTGGAGCGGGCCCAGGACCGGATCAGGCCGACACTGTCGCATTTTGGCGTGGCCTGTGGTCATAGCCCGTAAACCACAGCGAGGGCCCTTCGATGGAAGTTGTGGCGAGCCAGATTGCAAGTGTTACGCCTATGGACCCCGTCACCATAACGCCTGAAGACGTGGCTGAGGCGGTCCGTAGGGCCCCGAACTGGAAAAGTACGGGGCTCGACGGGCTGCATCATTACTGGCTGAAGGGTTTCGTAGTGTGTCACGCTGTGCTCGCCCGACAGTTTCAAGAGGCTCTCGATCAGAATTCGCTCCCGAGCCTCTTCACTACTGGGATCACTCATTTGGTTCCTAAAGATCAGGATACGGATTAGACCCGAGCAAATACCGCCCCATCACGTGTCTACCCACAATATATAAGACACTGACATCCATTTTGAGCGCGAGAATCGCTCGTCACCTGGAGCTAAATCAGGTGATGTCACGCCCTCAAAATGGATGCCAGGGCGGTGGTCGTGGAACCAAGGAACCACTCCTCATTGACGCGGTCATTGGCAAAGTGGTGAAACGCAACCGTCGGAATTTTTCCGCTGCCTGGATAGTTTACAGAAAGGCATTCGACTCGGTGCCCCATACATGGCTAAAGAGAGTCCTTCAGCTGCACAAAATTGACTGTACAGTTGGAGACTTCCTCGAGCAGTGTATGGGGCAATGAAGTACGATCCATTGCTATCTGGGCGAGCGGATGATGGCTGCGGAGTACCACATAAGGATAAGAAGGGGTATCTTCCAGGGCGATTGTCTGATTCCAATCTGGTTTTGCCTCTCCCTGAACCCTCTCAGTACTTTACTGGAGGGCTCCGGGAGTGGATTTCAGCTTCGGAAAGGAGGTGCAATAGTGACCCACCTTTCCTATATGGATGACCTCAAGTTATTCGACTCCAGTCGCTACCATCTTATGGAATTGCTAAACATCACTTGTGAATTTAGCAGTTCTATTGGAATGGAGCTGGGAACGGATAAGTGTGCGGTCCTCCATGTTGAAAGGGGAAGGGTTGCTAACTCTGAGGGCATAGACTTATCTATGCCCGTCAACTTAAGGACCCTCTCCGAGGCTGAAACATACCGATACCTGGGTATGTCACAGAACGTCGGTATCGATGAGGCTGGTATGAAACAGTCAGTTTGCGACGTGTTTTAGGCACGCTTGACCAAATTGCTTAACAGCCTTTTGTCCGGTGTGAATAAGACACACGCATATAATGGTCATGCCTGTCCTCATGTATACCTTTGGCATACTCAGGTGGACCGAGACTGAACTTAACGCCCTGGATAGAAAAGTCCGCACTACCATGACGTCCCATAGGATGCATCATCCGAGATCGTCGGTAATGAGGCTGTACTTGCCGCGAAAGCATGGTGGACGTGGTTCTCTGAGCGCGCTCACCTTGCATAATCACAAAGTGTGCAGCCTTCGTGATTACTTCCTGGCGAGATCGGGTGATCCATTCTATAATGACGTCATTTCTAGTGATAAAGGGCTTACCCCTCTATCCTTAGCCAACGAGCAATGGCATGACCCAGCAGTGCTTAGCATTTCCGACTGGGAGACCATATGGAAGGAGAAGGAGCTCCACGGGAGGTTCTACAAGGCTCTACATGATCCTTTCGTAGACACAGTAGCCTCCCTCCACTGGCTACGCTTTGGTGATCTCTTCAGGGAAACCGAGGGTTTTGTCTGTGCAATACAGGATCAGGTTATTAAGACCAACAACTATCGGAGATACATCCTAAAGGATGGCACCGTGGACATCTGTCGAGCTTGTCGCCATCCCCGTGAGTCACTTAGGCATGACATCTCCGGTTTTTCGGCGCTTTCTAACTGAGTACTTGCACAGGCACAACCTAGTAGCCAGAATTCTTCACCAGGAACTCGCTCTGAAATACGGTCTCGTGGAGCGGTAATTGCCGTATTACAAGTACTTTCCGGAAGCCGTGCTCGAAAATGATCGCGCCAGGCTCTATTGGGACCGGGCCATCATCACAGACAGGACTATTCTTGCGAATAAGCCTGATATTGTGCTGATGGACCGGGCCCAGTCAAGGATATTTTTGGTCGACATTACCATTCCGTATGACGAGAACCTCGTGAAAGCCGAAACAGACAAGCAAACAAAATATCTGGACCTGGCTCACGAGGTGACCGACATGTGGGGTGATCTGCCGACCGAAATTATTCCTGTAGTCGTCTCTGCAAACGGGCTAATCCCAGTCAGCCTCTCGGGTCATCTGAGGCGACTGGGACTACGTGGCGGACCGCTCCGGGCTCAAATGCAGAAGGCGGTGCTCCTCGATACCGCCCGCATCGTCCGCCGGTTTCTTTCCCTTTCCCCCTAACCCTCGGCCTGGGATGTTATTACAGCATTTGGTTGCTGCATATCGAAAGCTGCCTCTAAACATTGCGGATCTATGTCGCGGAATTGTTAGGTGGCGACTGCGATTACCGCTGATGTTCCCTTTTCTCCATTCTAATTTGCTGCTAAGATAACTAGGTATCTGCGATCTCAAAATGCCAAAAAGTAGACATGCTAAATGGTGCTGTTTGCGGTGTTTCATGTTTAAAATGTTGTGTTGATTCAAAAAGGGTGTTAAGTGACTACGGGGTGGAATTCTAAAACAGAAGCGAGCGCAAGCATTTTGAACCCGTTGAATCAACTTTTCTGTTCTTACATACAAGCATGGGCCGTAAACTGTGTCGGAATAATTTAATTTAGATAGAACGAGCGAATCTACTAGGCGTACCCGAATTTCTTCACTTAGATACTGTCGAACCTTATACAGGACTTTTAATCTATAAAAACAGTTGCGAACTACCTTTGATATATGGTTCTCGTATCGCAAATTTGAGTCCAACTCTAAGCCGAGGTTACGAGCCTCAAAGACACGTTCTAAAACCTCAGCACCTAACTTCACTTCACAATCAAGGGGAACATTATTTACATGAAATTTCGATCCGAATACTATATACTTTGTTTTAGTAGGATTAAGAATTAGACAATTATTTGTTGACCATTCCAATATTCTACCAAGGTCCTCGTTAAGCGACTGCACTGTCGAGCGCCATTCGTTAGATTTAAAAGAAATATATATTTGTAAACCGTCCGCGTATAAATGATATTTGCAAGATTTTATACAGTTTACGATATCTGTTGTGTAGAGTATAAATAATAGAGGAGATAAGAGCGTTCCCTGCGGAGTTCCTCTTGTTAAGGGTCTATACATTGAACGAAGCGGTCGACCGTCTACTTCAGTGATTTCAACATATTGTCCACGACCCGTAAGGTAGCTATGAAACCAACTGACCGTATCGGGATCAAAACCATAATATGTCATCTTAGCTAGTAATAATTGAGTATTCATGCAATCAAAGCCCCTTGAGAAATCTAGAAGTACTAGTAAGGTACACATACCAGCATCATGTGCATTAATAATATTGTCTGTAACATCTAGAAGAGCTGTGGTTGTGCTATGGTTTTTTCTAAATCCAGACTGAAATTTGGAAAGTATTTTGTTACTTTCAAGATATTCCCTAATTTGTATCGCAACAGCTTTCTCAGCAATTTTTGACAAACAGTGTAATATGCTAATAGGTCGTAGGTCCTTAGGTTCCAGTGGGTTTGAGTTTTTAGGCAGTGGCCTAACGATGGCTGTCTTTCAGACGTCTGGAAAGGTAGAAGTTACTATTGAATAATTAACCATAGATGTGATAGCACCTAGTGAATGTGGCAAGGTTCTAAGTAGCATTCCGAGAAAGTTCCATCTATGCCCTCTGCTTTCGATTTAAGGTTTAGTATAATTTTCGAAATAATGTCTTTTTCAACATAATGAAGGGAAAATTTTATATCTCCTATAAAACGGTTGCTATTGAAAAACAATAAAACTGAGTGCGAAACAGAGGAGGTCCCGGGTATATCAAGAAAATGTTTGTTAATTATGTTGGGATCTGTCAGATGCGCAGATAAATGAGAATTTTGCTTAGGAGGCAAAACAGATGATTTTAAGTTGCGCCATAGCATTTTTGCTTTATTTAAATTATTATTTATATACTGATTGAAGTATGCTTTCTTTTCATGATGAATCGATTGTACAACTAAAGTTTTAAGATTTTTATAATACGTCCTATGCGACTCCATTTTTGATTTCAAATATCGCGAGTGAGCAGCATTCCGTAATCGCATCATAAGCTTTATATTGTCTGTTATCCATGGATGTGGTTGCTCCTTAAGTACAATTTTTTTATGAGAGCTATTAAATCTAATAAAGTAATAATATGAGAATTAAACGTATTCACTATTTGGTTAACATCACGCAATTGTTCCAATGAATTCGAGCTAATCGAGTCTAAACAAGAATTAAGTATATCAATCGGTACGTCATTAAGAGGTCTGTATATAAGTCTTCTCGGAAATGTTTTTTCTCTTTTACAGCATACTTCACAAGTTAATATTACATGATTGCTAAGGGGCGCAACTGGTTCCAACGTAACATGTCGCGTTCCAGTATTTGTACATATTATATTTATGATGGATTCGCTATGGTCCGTGTGATGTGAAGGAGACATAACTATTTTCTGCAGATCTACACTGCTTAAAAATATTTTAAGTTTATGAACCTTAATATCATTTAAACCAAGAATATTAATGTTAAAATCGCCGAGCAAAATAAAGAAATCACACGAAGCTAACGAACTTATAGTTAATGTAATTGCATCGAAAAATAAATCAACGTCGATCCAAGGCGGGCGATATGCTGTTCCGATAGCAAGTTTTCCTGTCCCAGTGTTAAGAGTTAACCACATCTGTTCCACAACCGTGTGCGAAGGGTCTACCGGATGGTGATAAGAGTGCACATTTACGCCATGCCTTATGTAGAAACCAACGCCTCCGCCGCGGCAATTGCGCACGCTCAGCGGCCGCGGCGTGTGGCGCAGACTGTAGTCGGGCAAACGAGGCGCGCAGCCCTCTTCTCCCGTACGCAGCCATGTCTCGTTCAGCGCCTATATGTCCACCGAGTGACGTTCCATCGCTGCGATAAATTTCTCGTGATTCGTATTTAACGAGCAGACGTTGAGAAAACCAAATCTATAGTATAATTTAAGGCCTATGAACAAAACAATTACAATAAAAATTTGAAATATTAACATTTAACCAAAAAAAAAAAAAGAATTAATAAGAATAACAACGCCTATTAGAGTAAATAAAAAACGTTTCGATAGTGTGCGCATGATCAACTTTAAAATTTGTATCTGAAAAGACCTAATAATTAAAGAATATACTTCCACCCATATATACTGCCACTAATAATTGTATTATGC